GTCTTTCTGCACATACAAATAAACAACATGCTTTTGCTTCGTAGGTTCGCTTCGCGTAGCCTTGCTTAGATTGTTTATATCAGGCTACGAAGCCTGCGCGCAGGTTAGATTGTTTATATCAAGCTACGCTACGATGTATCTACGAAGCCTGCGCGCAGGTAAAAGTGCAATATTTCACGACTGTACTGTAAATAATGTAAAAATAAAGTAAAACATGAATTTTAAATGACGTTCTCATGTCAGTAGGCCTACACAGTACATGATGCAGTGTGGTGTACCTATCTGCTGTACCTTGCTAGGCCTAGGCTTATTATCGACTCAAGGTCGGGGAACCAAGGTAGGTAAACATGACGTTCTCTAAACCGGTCCGTCCGGAAAACCGGTCAAAGTGAACGGTCCGAAGGGTCGTCGGTATTGGGAGAGTTGACTGTAGTTTGGTGGTAGGCAGCCTGTCAGTGCCAGTCGAAAATACTGAGTGCCAAACAGGGCCGACTGGCGCCAACCAGATCCCTGACTCGTTGTATTTGATTATTGTAAAAAAAATCCTATATTGTATTTCTATATTTTATATTTTATATATGAGCATCAAATAAATTCAATTCAATTCAATTCAATATAACAGACTCATGTTCATAATCATGTAACTAATGCAAGAACCGAAGGGCAGCCTATTATAAAGCAATATAGCACTCTCCACAATTTTACCTGTAACAAGTACTGTAGAAGCATCGATGTACAGTAAAAAAGAGGCAATAAAAAGTAAATGTTGGAGAGCTAGGAGTGACTCAGACTCTACCTAGCCTAGGGTATTTAAACATTCAGGGCCCAGAGTCTTATTAAATTACATCAACGAGAGCATCAATGATGCAATAGCCCACTTGACAATAGCTGGCAATGTTTAAGTGCTGTCGGTGGGTGGAGATTGTGTGGAATGTTGTTAGGCCTACATGTATTGAGCATAAAAAAAACGTTTAAAGTTATAGTACCGTAATATATTTTTTTACTATGTTCACTTAACAGTTACAGTGATATTAAAGGATATATGGTTGTTGTAGTGGTTGTTATATACATAACT